TTGTCGCCACTATGTCATCGTTATTATTGTTATTTCTGTACTATATTATTATTGTTATTATCATTATGGGAGAGGCAATTCTCAGATAGGGCAGAGGAATAAAAAAATGACGAAAGTTGCAGCAGAACAGAAGTTTAGCTGATCAGCTGTATTAATTCAAGTGGAGCTCTTTTTCCATATAACACGTATAAGGATAGAAATATGGGTATGACCTGATCATAGAGATAAGAACAACTCACAAAACGGATAATGCCGAATATGGGATTGACTTGAACCGAATGGGCGAATCCCGTTGCTGCTTCTTTTTCATCCATAGTTTCATTGCAGCACGTCTTTCCATGTCGTTGCATTTACAATCTTTTCTTGGTTGCTGTGACCGGAGATTGGTTTTCTGCTGGCCTTTTGGCCATCTTGTCTCTTTTTCGACTGCTTTTCCTTGCCGTCAGTTCGGACAGAAATGTTAGGCTGTTTTGTGTTTTTCTGTCACAGTATCTGTGATTTTGTTGCTGTTCACTTGCTGATTGTGCTGCTCCAGTGCTCCTTCATAATGACCTTTTTCTCGTAGGAGCATATCAGGAATCTGTTGTAAAGCTCTTTAAAGAGAACAGCGCCCCGAGTGCAAGATGACTGCTTTAAGACATGACCACTTGGGGCTAAAAGACCCATTTACAGACTCAAGATTTCTAAAGATCCATTTCTGGATAAGGGTCAATTTTGCAGAGGGAAAGGTTAAATCTCCACCTGTTCTGAACATCTCTAAAGTGGGAGGAAACGAATTAACAGTGAGCCTCTTTTCGTTCTTCCCTCTAGCAGTTTTTTTCACTGTCATCACTTTTTTATTGCCACTACTGATGCTCCCATCAGACTTTTTCAACTCTTTTTTTATTGCGCATTTTTGTTTCTTTTTATGCGTTTTTGCGCCGTTGATTAAATGCAAAATTCCATGTTTACGAATGATTGTTTATATATGTATATGTGTATGCATGTGTGTATGTATTTATTAGTAACTGTACGGCCTTATCTCCCACTTTCAACCCACAATCGCAGGAACTGAGGAGCTGTAATTTTACCTAGATGTTCTCTGTCCATGTGCAACCTTTGGCCAAACCGAGCCGAATTTTAGTAGCTGCCTCTTCCAAGTAATCCTCGAAAGAAGGATCCATCGATAACCATGTAAGTGTGCGGATATTACTGGCACGCGCTGTCAGCTGAGCAAATTCTCAAGATTTTGAATCAGCTTTGAGGCATGCCTCACGTGATAGAAGTTCAGGTTAGTATAGTGGGTACTCATTTGAAACACTGACGACGCGCATCAGACGGGCCTGTGCGACCATGCGTTTTTGCATTTTTTCATGCTGTAATACGCTTGGAATCCCAGTAGCTAAAATTTGTAACATACGGATCCTCGAAATTCAGAAAGATAATTGTGCAGCTACGTAGTTCTTGAACAAGGAAATTCCGTTAAAATTTCAGCTTTTCAGCTTTTTTAGTCACCGAGTTATCGATTTTTCCACCAAAAATTTTGACGGGCTCGTGTGTGAGAACCACGCTTAGCTGAGGGCTGAATTTGAAGCCTTTAAGTTGTACGTGGGCTGGGATTACTCCATCATAATGTCAGCCTCCCAGCTTTTCTTGTTCCCGACTTAACAATTTGACAGTCTCTTACATGAGAACCACTTATGCCTGTGGGCTGAATTTGATACCATTAAAGTTCTCCATGGATGAGGAACATCCCGTTAAAGTTTCAGCTTTCCTGGTTCTCGGGTTAGCAATTTTTCTGCCAAAAAGTTTGACGGGCCCTCATGCGGCGCGTACGTCGTGAGCGTTGATACCACGGTTCAGCGCTGAAGCTCGCTTGGTTGTCGAGTTGGAATACCGGAACAAATAAACACACACATACATATACATACACAAACCGGGGCCGTTACAGTATGTGTTTTTGCATTTGCATGTATGCAGGAACGCATAATTAAGACTGGAAGATAATCTGCAATTTCATGAGGATGTTTACAGTCCTACTGTGGTCCACAAGTGAAGAACGATGCTTTTGCACAGGTCTGTTTTGTAACATGTCAAATGTGCAAGGCTGTCGAAATCCTCCTCCACAGTAATCTAATGTGTCTGTAAGCTGAAATTTCACGAGAACCCCCACAAAGGCGAAGAAGAATATTTCCAAGCGTGAATGCACTTATCAAACCGTGAAGCAGTGAACGCTTTTACTGCTGCCGATTCTACTGTTGCATGAAGTCGTCCAAATAACGCATCATTAGCAGACCTGTTGTAGTTTCCTATTTCTCTCCTCCAAACCTTCGTATTCTCGTATCTGGAAATTTGCTTTTTTTGCTAATTTCACTACGCCATCGAATTTGAGCTTCCATTCTTATACGTACTTCTTGAATTGTAGATCGATTCTGTTTTCTCTGCATTTGCTGAATCAACCTGAATTAAATCCCAGAATCTCTGGTCCTACTTAAGTAGCATTGTAGTCTTCTTTTCCCACCTGTCTACGGAGCATCTTCCTGCGTTTTCAAGCTTCATCTGTACAAAAATCTTCATATTGTAGTTATGCAGATTTTGGTTCCGTGCTTTTATGACTTTCTGTGTGCGATCGAATGGCCTTTGGTAACAGCGACTTTGAATGGGTGCGCCACAAATGCGCTGTAGTTGACAAAATTGGTTTTATGCACTCGACATTTTACTCAGAAATATTTGATGAGCAATGATCCTCTTATGCGTTTCACTGTTTGTGCTGGTTTTGACTGATAACAAGACGAAAAGTGAAATGAGAGGGCCGAAGTAGAGCAGGAAGAGGGGAAGTTGAGCTCCATGCACCGAGAGTGTTTCTACATTTATGACTGATTTAGTCTTTGATCCATTTAGGTATCTGCAGACACGATGGCAGTAACGGCATTGCCGTTGGATTGTTGGTTGAAAGAGCGGCTGAAGAACTGGGTGCAGTTATCCGGACATGAAGGTTTTTTGCTTGTTCCTTTTTCCACTTTGTGGTGAATGGGTGTCGTGTGCTGACAGTAAATCGAACGTTGTAGGGATTGGTCGCTGTTGCGAGGGTTGCTTAAAAGCAAACTGAACTGAGGAAAATTTTCGAATCATAGAAGGATCAGAAGCGAAAAAACCACGATAATCGGTCATTAGTCGGTACTAAAAATAACTGTGAAGGGTTTAGCTTGGTTTTCCCATTAACAAAGTTGAGTCATCGACGCGGAGTAAATCCTCCCTGCGGCCAAAAAATACGCGTTTAAAAACTGAATCACAAATTAAATTTTTTGTTTTACATTATTTTGCTATAGCTTCGAATATACAAGATGGCACATTTCAGGAACAATAGTGCCGGCAACTGATCATACGTTATGGAAGAAGCGAACTGGCAGTGATTACAATGAAGGGGATGCATATCGTTCGCTGATGAACGACCCGGCATTGGACGGCTTCGTTGCGCGATATTACAGAGAAGTGAAGTACAAAAATGAATGTTAGTTTTGAATGTTTTACATCCAGTTATTAAAATACGGCGCCTCCAAGTTAGGTGAGGTAGTGCACGACCTTGCCTTTAGCACTTGGCAACTCCCCGTAATTTAAAGCATCACTTTCGCATGAGTTTAACCTGTGATGTTGTGCAGATTCATTAGCCAACACGCACGTTGCTCAGCTGTTGTTTCGTGCTCTCTAATACTGCGTGGAGGAAGCGTCTTGAGAAATAATCCCAGTGTAAAGACTTGTGGTCTTGGCTCCATAGTTCTGATGTTCTCAAAAGCCAGACAGTGAAATATCATAGTACAAGTTAAAAATGTTATATGAAAATACTTTGTACAATATGATATTGGAAGATCTTATCAGGATCTTTCTACGAAACATTCACTTATTCTGTTCCCAACAGCACTTGTCCTGAGTGCAGGGGTCCTGAAGCAGCAAGAGAAACATAAATCCTTAATCTGTGTAAGACTTCCGCTTGTTTAGGAGCAAATATTCGGAAGCAAAATTTTGGTCATTTGCAATACTTCGAGTTTAACTAAATCCTCACGACAGTTTTTACAGCTTTCATTGAAATCGAGGATCTCACAGCGCTTTTCGATAATCCCGCAATAATGGATATCAAAATGGGGACTCGGTTAGTCATTCCTTATTTCACGATTACCGTTAGTTGGCTGATTTCATATCGCCAAAGATTCTGTGCAACAGTAGTGCTTGCTTCAAACACTTCTTCTGGCTAGTTAGTGAAAAAGTTTCCTCTTTTAAACGTATGCTACATCTTTCAGGACGTTTTTGGAGTCGGAAGTAAATAATGCAGCTAAACGAAGCGATTTGTATCAAAAAATGATTGCCCTGAACCCCAATGAGCCAACAGAGGAAGAGCACAGTGCGAAAGCA